GGTGGTAGGGTGGGTAGAGATGGATTATTACCTTTTGTTTAGTTTTTATTTTTAGTATTATTTCTCGCTCTGTTTTCCCTTGCACACTGTCCGGCTTAGCGATTGAACTCACAATTACTGTGTCACCAAATTCACAAAATCTACGCTTTAATCAACTAGCCTATAAGAAAGAGACGAGATATTGCTAGACATGCGCAGTGGAACGAGAACAGCCTTCACCCGTAGATTAAATAAAAGGTTCAGTTCAGAATTCCGTATAGGTTACTTGGTTCGATATGAACCTGATGAAAGCCGGAGGGGCACACCGGCCGAAACGTTGTGATAACAACAGCAGATATGAAGGTAATAGTGTAAGTAATAACTCCTCATCCCAGAAACTTTCCGTCCTGGGTATAACGATAAACTGCAACCGGTAGCAAGGCCTCTGATCGGGAGGTTTTAAGGAGTGTGGAATCACCTCTTAATTGCTGCTGTTCCCAGGTCCAGTCTGACCCGGGGTGGAGTTCCAAGCTATGGGCAAATAGTGAACTCCCAAACTTGGGTCAAAATACTATGAAAATATAAAAATACATTTTTATATTAAAAAATATTTTATAGCAATACATTTTTGAAAAAATTATTTTTACCAGCAATGAATACATATTCTATTCATACGAACCTATCCTAAAAAATCTAGCCAGCATTAAATAACCCATTGAGGTTGATAAGCCGTAAACCAAATAAATAAACCAGAAATTCAGACAGTAGAAACGTATTATTATTATTATTATTATTATTATTTTTATTTTCTTTGATTTCTGGCGTTTACACATTTCTTTCCGGGTCCCGCCCTGGGACCTAAGGTTAGAAATGGCGTCATGACATTTTCCACTGACAAAAAAAAAAAAAAAAAAAAAATTACATAGATAAAGCCCTTCGTAAGGTGTGGGCTGTACTTGTCAAAACAATTTTTTGTATCTCCTTGAGGCATGGACTTCCAGGAATCCCTTCAATTAGTCTACTGCAATCTTTTTCCAACCAGTCCTAGGGCTCCAACTACAACAGGGATTGTTGATGTTCCCATATGCCACATTTTCGAGATTTCTATTTCAAGGTCCTTGTGCTTTGACAACTTTTTGAATATCTTCAAAGATACATTGCAGTCAGCAGGGACTGCCATCTCAATAAGGAGGCATCGTTTTTGTTTGTGGTCTTTAATAACAATATCTGGCCGGTTGGCCTTGATTGTTCTGTCAGTGTGTATTGTGTAGTCCCATAGAATTGTAACAGGTCCCATCTCCGTAACCGGGTCTGGGTGGTGTTCATACCAGTTTCTTTCAGTTTTCTTCCGTAGAAGTTGCAGATTTTCCAGTGCAGATATTGGCCCACTCTGTCATGTCGGGTTTTATATTCAGTGGGTGACAACACCGTACAACCTGATACAAGATGATCAATCGTTTCTGGATATTTATCACAGAATCTGCATTTTGGGCTGACACAATATTTTAGTATATGTGCTTGATAATTCCTAGTTAGCAAGCATTGGTCCTGCGCAGCAAGGATAAAACCTTCAGTTTCCGCTTTCAACCCTGCACTTTGCATTTCCTACATTTTTCAACTGATTTCATCAAAACTTCACTTTTTTTTGACAGGTAGTGTTTCTTTTGTGTATGTTATGTTTGCTGCTTTGTATCCTATAGAGCCGGGTCCAAACTGTGGTCCTAAGGCCTTATAGAAGAATTGTCATTTAAATGATAGCACTTAGTATATGGGATGTTTCTAGTAGAGCGATCTTCTGGGCAACCTGTATGTTGATGTTACTTGGGACATTGCTGGTAAAATTGTCTCACGAGGCTCAGTACTCCGATAACTACTGGTTCAGTCTCAATTTTCATTCCCCTCATCCTCTTAATCTCGATCTCCAGGTCCTTGTATTTAGACAATTTCTCGATAATTTTCATGAAGGCGTCTCTCTCAAATGGTACTGCTATGTCTGGTTGGTGCTCATAGCATCACTCAGTGGTTTCGATTTTGTGCTTCTTGCATATCTTCCAGTTCACATATGTCGCTATCTTGTTAAATCTGTGAGTATATTCATTTTTTGCTAGTTCCGTACATCCTGAGATAATATGGTCGACAGTTTCATCATATTTTCCGCAGGTCCTGCATTTCGGGTTAGTTCCATCCTTGATTATGTGGGTGTGATAGGATCTGGTTGCGAGGCTTTGGTCCTGAGCAGCAATAATAAGGTCTTCTGTCCCATCTTCCAAGCTGGTTCTCCTCAGCTACTAATGTGTTTTCTGTACATCCACATCTGCTTCTTTCGTTCGTTTTAGGTATTTGTCATGCAACGCCTTGTCCTTCCAGCTTTTATTTTTTTGTAATTTCATTTGACCAAGTTTATTGGCCCCATTAAGTTCGCTTTCTAGTATCAGACGAACTCTCCTATAATATAATTGAATGCTGTATTCTGTCTACTTAATTAATTCCTAACTATTTGCATCTATCCTCTTGGTCAACTTCCTTAATCTTGTTGTTTTTATCAAGGTCTAAATCTGTAGTCTTCGTTAGTTTACCGCTGTTGAAGGTTTTTTTTTTTTTTGGCACATTTGTCGATTCCTAACTCCATCCTAATGTCTTCTCTGAAGGTTTTGGCAATGGTGACTAGGTTTTACCGTTGGTTATTATCCTTGGCAAACGTTTTAAGATCATAAATATAGAATAGATAATTCAGTTTGCCATTCTGTGACTTGTATCCGAGCTACTGTTGTTCAGTAAGCAGCTGAGGAGCGCTAATGCAAGGCAGATGAGTGACAATGAATCTCCTCAAAAGATCCCGCCTTTGATGTTGGTTGGTCTCAATGTTAATGACCCGTTTGTATGCTTTTCGTTTAGTGTAAGTCTTACAGTTTTTCATGCTCTCCGTTATGAATTTGAACGTTGTGGAGCATACTCTGTATATTTATAGGCTCTTATCTATCCATGATTGTGGTACACTATCGAACGCCTTTCTGTAGCCGATCCATGCTGTCGCTAAGTTTCATTTCACAGGGGATCGCGGTCCCTGTTGACCCGCATGACGACCGATGCGATTTAGTAATATTTTTCGTTGTTTCAGCATTATAGTTAGTTCTCTATTTACCCATACGTGTGCGCCGGTTCGTGGGCGCCAGAGTATATCCAGACCATGATGGGACATCACATTTAGGGGGCCAGGCCTTCTCCTGCTTTTTTTTTTTTTTTTTACTATTGTTATTAACAACTACGGCAAAATCTTCATTTATAAGCGTTGTGGATCCCAAGGAGAAACAACGTGCTTCAACAGACTCCGACATAACTTGAACATTTTTAACGAAATTTTGTTTGACGTTTTCTCTTTTTCTCTCCTATGTTCAATAATATGAAACTATATTCAAATCTCCCTAATCCTCTTATTACATGACTATATTTTACCCATAAATACAATTAATATATACTTACTTAATATCTAAATAAAAGTTTATTATAAGTGTATTAAAGTTTGTTATAAGTGTATTGTATGGCTCATAAAACAAAAATTGTATATAAATTACTAATAAAAAAATAAAAAGAATATTAAAAAATAACCGAGAAGTCATTATCACCACAATCATCACCATAACTACCATCACCATAACTACTACTACTACTACTACTACTATTATTATTATTATTATTATTATTATTATTATTATTATTAATTAAACAAATAAACGCTTTTAAACATTTTATCTTTTAACCGGTCTGGATTCTTATAAATATATTCACTACATGCCATTTTATCATAAAAGCAATAAACATATAAGTGCTAGATCGAAAATAAATGGGCAAATAAGTAATTTTTAGAAAAGTGTAAAAACTATCTCTCTCCCTCTGTTCTTTGTGATTGTAAAACTCGGTAAAGAAAAATAAAAGGACGAAAGGGACCCTTTTAAAACATAATAATTGAAAATAACATGAGTGTGAATCAATAAGTGCGTAGTCTGTATTGTATATACAGAAATGCGTATTCACCTATCTGTTGAGGAAAAAAGCGTTCGGTCATAACACCTCGTATCTCTATAAATGAAACAGTCTGTTGCGTGCTAAATCAGGGCGATTCGGATCGCGTTTCAGAAGTTCGGAAGTAAATTATCAGAAGTCTTTCCATTTTGGGAGTGGATATAAAATTATATGAATTCGCACAAGTATAAAACGGCTTGACGTAGTTGATTTGATGTAAAAGATGTTCATTCTAGGTGATTAATACTTAACATTGAATTAAGTGCATTAATATGGAAGAAAATTATGTTGAAAAATAAATATTTGTTGCATAAAATAAATGTATTTTTATCAATAAGCAAAGGAGATATCGATGTATACACATAAATACAAAGAATTTATATTTTATTAAGAAGAGAAACATTATTATTGTTGTTTTAGTCATTATTCAATTTATTTTTGGAACAAAATAAATAAATTTAACCTTTGTTTGCTTCTCTACCTGTTAAACATCATTCGAAGTGATAACAATAATTACGAGAACCCAAATTATTTCTTTTGATTGATTCGTTTTTTACGGTTTTCCAACCGTTCCCAGTTTATTTAAAGCCAGAATATATTTTTAGGTTGTAAGAATTTCTTGTTTCGTTCGTTGTACGCTCCGACCTTCTTCAGGTGATATACATTGGAATTTCGAACTCAATATTTTGTCCATGGTATGGGAGCCTATAACGACCAAATAGTGGTGAATATGTCAATAACGATGAGGACAACAGTCCAAACCATGTAAATACTGTAAATAGTTATAAGTCATCTCAGAAGTATATATAGGTAAGTTATTATTAATAAGAACAATAATATTTATAGAGTAATTATTATTAGAATAATATTATAAACTGAACTTACACGATATATTGTTCACGTAAATATGTGTAGATTTTGATAATTTGACAAACATCGGCTGGTGGAAACCAATGTTATTGCGAAAATATTGACTTGCATTATAAATTCTGAACATTAGATTAAAAATACTCACGTTCAGGCCCGATCCTGAAATTTGTGTCAGAAATGTAAGTTTTCCCTTCAATGATGAATGTGGCTTCACATTTCACTGTATTTCGTCGTCCCTGATGATTGAACATCAGGGTACTGTTGACCGAGTTGTGACATCGCATCTGATCGTATTCGGCCTTTGAGGTTGAGTAATCCATTGTGGGAACTTCTTTATAGTGTTTGCCGTCCATACTTGTGTACCATTTGATGGTCACATCCGGGTCTCCACCATTAGCTTGGCACGTCAAAGGTATGTAACCAGGTTGGGCATCTTTGCAGCTACCTCGATGGATTGTCACATTCGTCGGTAAGGCTGAAAAAGAAAATATCAGGTAAACTGACTTTTTTCAATTCTTTTTTTTTTCCTCCGCCTAAATGTTACATTTTTTTTATTAAAAAAAAAAAACATTTTCAATATATGCAGATTTAATTCTCTCTGAAGTTTCTGAAATTAAAAGTTTTCATTTATTAAATTATTCATATTCGAACTAATATCCTCATCTTTATTGTTATTATCAAAACGGTGGTTCGAAGAAGTCATAAGGTGATTTTCTCTCTCAAAAAGGCATTGGCCTACTCTTTTACACAGGATACATTCTCAGACGAACTACATTTCTTAGTTTTACCCGTTCTAACTTTCACGGCTACTGTAGCAAACCACCGCCATTTCTTTCGTATTCCATTGGTGAGGTGTAAGTTCCACTCGATCAGCATCTTCCATTGAACCGCTGCTTTGTGGAACTGACGCCCAAGAGAATGCTTAAAACTGTGCCTAGATCTTGTTCTTGTTTGTTTTTCTGCATGTTATGGCATGCAGCCAACTCAGTAACTGCGAGAGAGAAAGACCGAGTAAACTATTAACATGTAAATACTGCTGGGGAAAGGCTAACACCACGGCTAATGGACGAGCTTCTAGATTAACGATGAGATGAACGTAGAGGCAATAAATCTCACAGGAGATTATCTTTGATAGTAGAACTGATTACTTTCGTTAACCGTTAGCACAGATTCTTTAGTCAGTGGTATAATATCCAAATAGTTGCAATCGTTGTACCTGGTGGTGGGACAAGCATACTACCAGGGAAACAAGATGTCACATTATAGAGATGGAAAACACTTTGTAATAAATTAATCTTACATAAATAATAAAATCCGACTTATTTATTGCCCGCGTATAATTATCACGACTGAAAATTAATTTTCTGTATAGATTCTTTTTTATCAAGAGATCGCCATTAAACTCGCAGTCTACTTACTGTGGAAAAGTAGGTTCTGCGTTGTAGAATAAACACGTCCGTTGGCATAGTTGAGCGCACATTTTATGGCTTGCTCGTCGCAACTTGTGATACCAATCTGGAATTCGACGTAACCGTAATGACCACTGCGGTGAAATTTGAAACGTGAATGCTTCACTAAATCGCTGCTGGGTGTCAGGACGTGGGTGTTGTTTTCAGGAAAGTACCAAAGGAAAGGGAAGTAAGAATCGCCGCTCTCCTTGAACAGCTGGACGGTCGTGTTCTTGAAGCCGTCCTGGAAGGCAAATTGGCATTTTACCGTAACGTTCTGACCAAGAATCGGGCTGTGAGGTGTGTGGGACATTTGCGCTGCAAAAGATAAAGATCAAGAAAAAATAGTGTCAACAGTATAACATAATGTAAGATCTGGAGACAGATCGAGAGAGAGAGAGAGAGAGAGAGAGAGAGCAAATCAGAAACGAAAGTATCCATGTCTAGATTAATCATTTTGCTGCATAAGGAAATTAAAAATGGAAAAACTATATATATATATATATATATATATATATAAAAGAAATATGTTGTAGTGGTTCCAACGAGAGAAAAGTATGTATATTAAAAAGAAGAGAAGAGAGGTGCCGCTAACGTTTTTGGTTGTAATGTGGATTTATTTAGAAAAAATATTATGTTTTGTTTTACATAATTTTACGACACGTGTTTCTGGTCTCGCGACTGTCTTCAGGTAAAAGTGGAGATTTCTACATTTTATTAAAAATAATTAATTTTTCATCATGTTCAATGTGAAATATTCTCGATATGAGACATTCTCTGTTTGTGTGTTGGTAATCCGAATTTCTTTCTAGAATTGTCAATGAAGAGTTCTGCGCGAAGGGTCATAAAACAATTAAGGTTGGTCCAGCGAGTAGTTATCGGCATTTTATCTTTTAATGTTTTAGTGACCCCTATGTGCTCTTGGATCTGTTTCCATTTTGGTGTGTTCCTGTCAGCATGCGTGTATATATGCGTGCGTATATTTCCCCTCCATACATATACTGTCTTACTACGAGGAATTCGTAAACTTATTTGTACCTATACACGCATACACACACATACGCACATACACACTATCCCACCACAAGTAATCAGTACACACACACACACACACACACATACACACATATTTCCCAAGCTACATGGAACCAGTACACACACACACACGCATACACACACACGTACTTCTTAAGTTGTCAACATCCGCATATACATACATGAATGTATGTATGTATGTGTACATACATACATATATATATCTCCTCGTGTCTCCCGTATATGAGTGTGCGTCCATGTATGTGAGCGATTTGATCATTGTCTTTGGTCACCCTGTGTGCATGTTGTGTGTTTTTGTGTGTGGGGTTACGATCTATTTAGTTTGGGTTTGAATTTGTCTATAAAGTTTTTTTCCTGTATTTGTAGATACGAGTAATTGTCTGTTTGATATATCGGCATGATATTAAACTTACCCTGGTTACATTTGAAAATGTGTTGTGATACAAAAAGTTTTCTGTTGTCTGTCAATTTTATATTGCTTTTGTGTAGGGAGACCCTGTTGTTCAGTTGTTGGCTGATGCCTATATATGACTTCTTACATTTTGTGCATTTAAGTGCATAAATTACATTTTTGGAGTTGCAGTTTAAGTTTTTATTTATTGTGAATGTTTTTTGGAGGGTTTTCAAAAGTATAGGAGTTTCCTTCTATAATGATGTCACAAACCCCACATCTTTTTTTGTTGCATTTTGTGACTCCCTGTATTTTGTGTTGGCTAAATTTAGATGAGGTTATGTAGAAATCTCCACTTTTACCTGAAGACGGTCGCGAGACCAGAAACACGTGTCGTAAAATTATGTAAAACAAAACATAATATTTTTTCTAAATAAATCCACATTACAACCAAAACGTTAGCGGCACCTCTTTTCTTCTTTTTAATATATATATATATATATATATATATATATATATATATATATATATTGTGTGTGTGTGAGAGAGTGTGTGTGTGTGTGTGTGTGTGTGTGTGTGTGTGTGTGTGTGTGTGTGTGTGTGTGTGTGTGTGTGTGTTGGGGGGAATATAGGTCAAAGATGGATCGGAATCCGACAGAATGATAAGATAAAGAACAAATACGAAACGTTTATCAATCTAACATGTTTCACGTTTATTAAAGCTTTATCAGTAAATGAGATATGTAGAAAAAAGAAGAAAGAAATTCAGTTATTTTTACTTTTCTGTTGTTTGATTTCCATCGTTTTACGTGCATTTGATTAGTTAAACCAATGTTAGTATAATTTATACCGTTCCGAATACAAGAAGAGATGATACGTCCCTTGTAAGTTTCAAGAAAATAAGCCTAGCTGAAAAACCTTAAATAACGCTTAATGTATGTAAGCATATAATAATGTGGGATTCAGATGATAATGTATATTTGTAAGTGTGTGTGTGTGTGTCTAGTAGACATGTTTGTTAGTTTTTCGCATGTTGATTTATATATATATATATATATATATATATATATATATATATATATATATATATATATATTTTGTGTGTTTCTTTAATTTGTAAAATAAATTTTTATGAGCCTTCCGATGGGTGTAAGAACGGTTCTATTTTAAATGTTGTTATGACCTAATTTATTACCAAAAGTTATTTTTCCCTGGGTGTTGAATACTAATAAAAACAGTTTTATACTAATCGTGCAAATAAAATAACATGACTTCGTCTCATCAACTCACGCGTTAAATTGTTTTACTAACGCTAATTAAGTATAGATAAATTCCATGAAATGCAATTCGGAATGAATAATCGGAAAGAAAAAGTAAGGGAAATAATCCCGGGAGCAAATAATTTTTGCGTTCATCTATAGCTGCGTTTAGACTTATCAGAATATTAAATAACTTCGCAACATCGAAATGATTTTAATGTACACCACTTTGATGCTGCTTCTGCACGCCATATTCGGATGATTTCATATTCAAATATAAGAGTCATAATACAGTTACTGAATTATTTCTTGGAAGTAATTTCATACATTACCTCTTCTTTCAAGATCGATATACATTAACATTTGCTTGTGATTACAGGAATACATGCGCTTGTGTTCTTCATATATATATATATATATATATATATATATATATATATATATATATATATATATATATATATATATATATGAGCTAACGATATATTTTTATATATCAAGAATAATATTGGGGAAAATGTATGACAAAGAGGAAAAGATTTTATTTAAATTTATGTTGGCGAGACTAGACATGCGCACATACGCACGGACGATGGATGTATATATATATATATATATATATATATATATATATATATATATATATATGTGTGTGTGTGTGTGTGTGTGTGTATAGGAATAAAGTGTCGCTGCCAACACTGGTGTTTGAACACAGATCACCAGAGAGTAAACACAGGTGATCTCATTTTGAATAAGTAGATCACGTAATGGTAAATGAAATGTATATATGGAATTTAGCGTGGCGTCTAAGTGATCACTATTTCTACACTATCCTTTATTACTATACGGATCGTTATTCTCGATTCACTATACTATTTCTCTATACTGGTCACTATACGGATTACCATTCGGATCACGTTTCGGTGTCTACTATTCGAGCGAGTATTATCGAGTAAGTACTATTAGTGCGAGTGTTATTCGAAGATGTCTGATACCAATATTGTTCAATGGCGTTACTATAGTTGTAATCTGCGATTACAAAGTCTTTACTACAACGAACATTACGAAAGTGACAACGAGTGTTCGTTGACATCACAAAAGTAAGCAAGGGAGAAATCTTAAGTAAGTCTTTAGAACTTCATCGGATGAAGTACTAAAGGACGAAACTTCTAACCACTTTGTTATAGATTTTTCTAAAATTGTTCTTGATATATATATATATATATATATATATATATATATATATATATATATATATATATATTTTCCCATATATTTCATAACAAAAAATAAATAAATTTTCAATTCCTTGAGAATTTAAGCAAATATCGTTAGCAGGAGATAGAGACAAATTGGGAAATAATTTTGTTTCTCGTTCGGAAATTAAAATGACCACGAACTTTTTTCTTAGGAGTCAAATGTACGATGGGGCAGAAGTTATGAAAACAAGTCCTGTCAACAGTGATGTGTTTTATATTTTCGCTGGATAGAGATTAATCTTGGAATTGAGAAATAATTTTGTCTCTTCCTTGAGAATTTGGGCAAACAAATATCGTTGGCAGAGGGAAGAGAGAGAGAGAGAGAGAGAGAGAGAGATGGATTATAATTTTGCAGACTAAAACAAATTAGGAAATAATTTTGTCTGTCGCTCGGAAATTTAATTGAGGACGAACTTTTTTCTTGAGGGTCAAATATACGATAGGCCGAAAGCTATGAAAACACGTCCTGTCAAATTTGGTTTATTTTTTTCGAAGGACAGAGATAAGTCTAGGAACTGAGAAATAATTTTATCTATTCCTTGTGAAATTAAGAAAACTTATCATTAACGAGGAGAGATACAGATGGAGCTTATATTTTTGTTGACGAAAACGAATTAGGAAATTTGGGAAATTTAAATAAAAAACGAACACATTTTGAGGATTGAAGTTATGAAAACAGGTCCTGTTGCTAATGAGCAGGTGACTTGCGGAATCAAGAGAATTAAAACTAATGACTTGAATAAAACTACGTCCTTTCGCCCACACGCTTTAAAAATTAGATTTGTTACGAAAACAGTCATGATGTTGCATGCTGAGAGGGAAGGGGAAATTAGTACCACCTGTATGGAATGATGGTACGAGATGTAAAGTAAATCAAGTTACAGTTGAAGAGAGAAGGAATCGCTATAACTTCTCCCAAGAAAGTGGATAGTTCTCTAAATTTGGAAAGTTAATTAAGAAAGCAAACAAAGGGAACAAAGAACCTTTATTGGGATTAATGTGAAAATTGAGGAATCTTCAGAACCGTTCGGTCCCATGCTGGTCTTGGACCAAAGTGCATATCAGAGTGCTCGAAAACTTGCGCTACAAATCCCGCACCGAGTGCCTCTGGAATCCACGTAAGTTGCCACCAGATCTTCTGACTCTCAAGAACTTTGAACACAAAACGATGTCCAGTGTCCCTATAGAAATTGATGTGGGAAGGGTTAATTTTTGATGTACCAAGAACTATAAAAACCATATTGATGCAACTAATCTTTCATTTATATTTTAACGCCGTGAAGATATTTCTTCTCTTGATATAGCGCTCGCCACGGCTCGAACCAGCGCTTCGATTACTACGACATTCGATCTTCCACTGCTCTGCGTTCAAGAACACAACATGGGCAGTGTTGATGTAGATCGAAGCGGCCAGCGACCAACAATCAGCTTTGACCAGCATCAGTATTGGCCAGCGCAGAGTTAGCCCTGTGGTTAAAACGTCGTCGATAGACACCGAGGACCGGACAACTTAATGTGGTTACACCACCGCGTGTAGGCAGTGGTAAAAGGATGATAGATAGATAAATAAATAGGTATATAGATAGATAGATATCAAATATCTAAGCAGTATTAATATATATATATATATATATATATATATATATATATATATATATATATATAGAGAGAGAGAGAGAGAGAGAGAGAGAGAGAGAGAGAGAGAGAGATAGATAGATAGATAGATAGATAGGGGCATACTGATATTAATAGAGCTAGATATGAAATGTATGAGCGAGATAAAAACAAGTGTCAGTATATTCATAACTGAAGAAGCAAATATATACGTTCATATCGTTCATCTTTGCTCAGAAGATCGGATGGAGAGTCACAAATCAAATTCTAACTGGAAAGGAGATGTTAATTACATTCCCTTGATTTTTGCATGGGGCTGGGCTTCCCATGCATGTTAAATTCACCGTACTCCTTGAGATGTAGAATGGTGTCCAGAGTATCAAAACATCTGCCCAATGGCGGAAATAGAGGTTAACCATGCGCAATAATTAAACTTCAGGGTATCTGGCCAGGAACTGTTGCAACCGAAGCGACGCGAACCATATTGGGTTTCATATTATTTATATTGTTGTATACCGTATTGTTTTATATTTTTGATAACGTTATCCTTGCTTCCGCCATCTGTTCACAGGAGACAAGACAGCTGCTTATTATTAACATATCATTACTTAAAATAATTGCGCGTGCGCAAAGACCTATATAGCCAAATGCAGATGGATAGAAATTCGGAGAAGGGATAACAGTATTAAACAGAAAAAGAATTTGTTGAAAATGCGTACTTACATCAACAATGTCACCTAATGACGATTAAATTTTATTTGCCTATTTTAATGACGATTAAACGTTATTTCCAAGCAGAAATATTTATATTTATTTTTCAGCATAATCCTCATCCTTGTCAATGCACTTAATTCGATGATAAATATGTATAAGAAAGATTGAACAATATACAGTGAACATTTCAGAACAAAATTCTGCTAATATGACTGACATGACATAACTACGTGAAAAACAGTGGATATATTGATCTACAGTCCTGAGTATGACGATAAACTACATCCAGCAGCAAGGCCTCTGAACGGGAGACTAGAGGTCTTGAGGAACATTGAACCACATCTTAATTGCTGTTGTTCGCAGTTGACCCTGTTGTTCCCAGTGGTAGCACCTGTTAGGGCCCCAGCTATGGGCAAATATTGAACCACAGACACTATGAAATTATAAAAAATACATTTTTTATAGCAAAAAATAAGAGCAATATATATTTCATATAGTAAAATGAACAACATTACCTATTTTTAGTAAAATGACCAACTCTAATTGAAGGCATACAATTACGTTCAAAATATTTAGATTTCGGCATTAATTAATAAATTAAAATATTTAGATTAAAATTAAATTAATAAATTAAAATATTTAGATTTCGGCATTAGTTAACAGATAGAGGTTGATATGCCGCTAAACAAAATCAACCAAATCGTTCATACACAAATATATGCATTCTTATATAAGGATCAAATGCAAACATTCATGTAGTTTATTTCTAACTAAAGCAGTTTGTGAAAACGCTCGAATCATCTCTTTTTTTTTTTTTTTTTTGCATGCGTATCGCTATATGTCTAAAGATCCTTGAAAAAAATCCAGAGAAGAATCAGCCATATTTTTGGTCCTGATCTGGCGTCGTTTTTCCGCCGCCGCAAAGATGCCTCCCTGTACCTTTTCTATAACTACTTCTATGGCAACTGTTCGTATGAGATCCTCTCCATGGTACCTAGACTTCTTAAATTTAAGCGCAGTACTGGACTGGTGACGAGGTCTCAACAATTTACCCTTGAGTTTGCTAGATGTAACTGTAAGTTCTATGCTAAAAAAAAAAATTTCTCGCACTTCTTGCTTGTGGAACTCTCTTGCCGATTCATGCTTTAATCTTCAAAAAACTAAATGCAATGCTAGTCGCTTTCTGTTTTCCTCCTGATTACTCTTCTTTTGTTCTTTCTTCTTGGTAGAGTTTCTCATTTCTAATTCCCCCACATCCAGTAACTCCTTGTGTCTTAGTGGCTTTACTGCCTTGCTTGACGTAGGATCGATAAAAAAATATCTATATGTCTATCTCTAAGTAATTAGGCTGCAGGAATTCATTTAAACAAATTTTGTTAAATTCAAACGACAAGGTTTGTCTATTTTTTTCTCATTTTCGAATGTCTTTGTATATTCAAATCAAAAGTGCACATAAAGTATCTATAATTACTGGAATAAGTGTAATAGTGGAACGTAGTCTGAATCTATCATAAAAATACAATATGTGGAATTAATAAATATCAAACACATTAAATACCTCGGTGGAAGGATCAGTTATAACAAATTTAGTATAGGAGAAAAGGAAATTGAATTTAGAGTAGGCTACGTCAGAGGTAGCTTCACCAAACACCTCTAATTGCTACAAAAGCAAAACGTTAACCTGAAAACTGGAGTCATATTCTTAAATAACCTCGTCAGATCGAAACTTTCATATAGATGCCAAACATAGCGCCAAACCCGTTCAGAAATCTCTAAACTTCCAGTTGTATACAACCGCTTTCTAAGATCAATGGTTAAAAATTGCTTTAAGAAGCCTGTGGATCTTGGCGAAGGAAGACTATTCTTCTTCGAAACTTGTGGGCTGGCGTTATAGAATCAACGACAAAGAACTGTACCATATAACAGAAACTACATCACTTGAGGATTTTCAACAGCGGCAACAAATAAAATGGATATCACATGTAACTAGAGAAAATAATGACATAATCAAGATGTTGACATTCCACATTACTCCAAATAAAAGGTTAAGAAGAAATTCCACATCAAAACAAAGCCACTAAGACGTATGGGGTTACTGAGTGTGAAAGAATATAAGAAAAAGAAAAAAAACATTAAAGAACGAGAATAATAAAAGAACAGGAATTACAAACACAGACGATAACGATTGATATTGCATTAAAATTTTTAAAGATAAGTTTAATTGGAAATCAAGAAAATGGAAGAGCGTTCCACAAGCGAGAAGCGCGAGAGAAATATCTGTTAGCATACAACTTACGGTTACTTTTAGCCATTTCAACTGTAAAATGACAAGACCTTGCCGCCAGTTTAATACTGGTCTTAAATTAATAGAATCTAGGTAATCCATAGTGCAGCGCTCAACATTTGAACACTGCCCCTTATAAGAATTCGGATCCTGGCATCTAGGTCCACAGGCTAGTTAGCTGCTGACGCGTCTTGAAAGCAAATTTCAGTTAAAAACTATGAAAAAAGTGACTGTTTATAAAATATATTTGTGTAGGGGGATATGTATAGATATCTATCATAAGGTAAATACAAATAGTAAACGTTTATCAATCTAACATGTTTCGCTTTTATTAAAGCTTTACGAGAGAATGAGATATAGAGAAAAAGAAGAAAGAATTTCTATTTTTATTTTTGTGTTATTTGATATTCATTGAATTTGAAACACCGTAGATAATGCTAACCTTTGTTTAACAAGTCAAATGCAAGTGGACCCTGATTTACCAATGAAAATCAAACAATACAAAAATAAAAATACCATAATACCGTTCAGATAAATTATTGCTTTGATTGTTGCCAATATGTATATTTATCAACTGTGACTCAGGCTGTAAACTTAACGTATACCGAAATATGAGAATTTAAAAAAAAAAAGGATAAATATTGCCTTACCTGGTTTGTTCAGAACTTGGATAGATACAAAACTTTTGTTTGAGACTTGCTTTCCATCCTTCAAATAGAGGGAAAAGATTTTCTTTTAGCGTCTTTCTAACAAAAACTGATAGAAATGTCAGTAATTCATGAATATCGTATATACTCATGTATAGTGTGAGTTTTATAATTTTTTTTTTTGCAAAATATAAGGCAATCGTACTATACACATGTCCATTTTTTTTTCTTTGAAGAGGTTAAAAATCTTGCATTTTCGGTTACTGATTGCACTATATACAGGTATTTTTCAAGGTGTTAAAATTCATGCAAGAAATTCGAGGGTCACACTTATATGCAGTCAACTTATACACGAGTATTTTCTTAGCAACTACAGAGAGTAATTATTGTTACAGAAATACGAACGAATTATTTCAATAAACGAAGATTTGAAAGATTTTCATAGCACTCGGATGACAGACATGGAAACCTTCAGGTTCCGACAATGCTTAAATCAGAATAAAAATGCTTAAAAGAATTTATGTTCCTTATCAAATCAGCCGTATGTTATGGATGTTAGATTGTGAATAAGAATTAGAAAACAAATTATGTTCCAGTCTTACATCCACATCACGTTGGGACACCGAACTTTAGTGATACAAGTCTTACTAATCCATCTATAAATGTGGATTCATACGTTTCCCAATGGTAATAGCGCCTAAGTGAATATAACGAACACAAGGGGAATTGGAACTCAGCTCTCCGATTAACAATTCCAAGTCATTATCGATGACACCGCCCGCGCATCCACACTTATAGCATCTGGTATTCCCAAGCTGTCACCCATCTAGGTACTAACCAGGGTCGACGCTGCTTAACTGCGGTGATCGTACGAGAACCAATGTTTCAACGTGATGTGATATCAGCTCTAAAAAGACGAAATTTAATTAAATTAATTAAGCATGCTATTCATAATAGATGTCAGAGGGAAAATTAGCAGCAGATAACTGGTAACTGACATCCATCAAACATGGCACGTGGAATTAGAACAGTCTACCCCAGCGATCGAAATAAAGGGTTCAGTTCGAAATTCCAACCACCTGAAGAAGGCCGGAGCGTACAACGGCCGAAACGTTGTGACAAATATGGCGACAAAGATGAGGACAATAGTCCGACTAATGTAAATACTGTCAAATATTCTTGTTTTGATTTTAAATACAAATGTTTTTTTTTTTCTGTTCATTTATTATTTTCTTGAATGAGACCTGAGACCTTTTCCCTTTTTTCGAAACTAATGTTAGAAAAGTGATACAGCTCAGCCGAACAACACTGTCATAGACTGAAGCCAAAAAGTTTAGCTTTCAGTTCCAGCAAAATGAGGGTCTGAAGACACCTTCCCACACATCAGCCCTCACTATAGCACCGTGGATGTTCTCAACATTTGGCTGTCGTAAAAATGCAAGGATATTCTGATTGTTACATTTTACATTTTCGTCCTAGGTATGGCGATAAATTACATCCAGCGTCAAGGCGTCTAATCGAGAGACTGGAGGATTTGAGGAGAGTGGAACCACCTCTTAACTGCTGTTGTTACCAGGTCTACCCTGACCAGAGGTGGTAGCATCTGTTAAGGTCTCAGCTATGGCCCAATAGTGAACCTTCCCAAACAAAAATCAACAGTATGTTTTTATAATGAATTGAGCAGCAACACATTTTTCATAGCAAAATGACAATTACAACACGAAAATAATATAAAAATACATTTTTATAGTAAAATTACCAACAATACATTTTATGATCTACAAACTGTATATCAAAAAAACATACCTTTAGTCTGAAAGTAAAAAATGATGCACAAAATATCTGTAGTTGAAAGCATAAAATTACGTACAAAATATTTAGATTTCGAAATTAAATAACCCATAGAGATTGATATGCCGCTGTACAAAATCAACCAAGCAATATTTAACAGTTACCTGAAATTGTAAAGGAAACTGTTCTTTTTTACATTTACCTGAGACACTTTTTTTCACTGGATTTTATAGGAAACATTTTTTTTTACATTTTACCTGAAACTCGTTTTTCTTTCAGTGAATTTGTAAAGGAAACATTTTACCTGAATTTAAATAGGAAGCACTTCTTTTTAACACTTTACCTGAAATGTCTTTTCTTCACTAAATTTGTATAGGAAAACACTTTTTTTTTTCATATTTTATCTGAAGCACGTTTTCTTCACTGAATTTGTATCGGACACACTTTTTCGCATTTTATTAGGAAATACATTTTATCACATTTTCCCTGATTTTTTTTTTTTTATAGAAAACATGTTTTTTTCAGATTTTACTTGAAACACCATTTTTTTTTACGCAATTTATATAGGAAACAATTTTATCCTATATTTTACCAAAATTTGTACAAGAAACCTATTTTTCCGCATTTTTATCAGGTGATGACAGAAATCTGTGAATTAAGATTTATTTCATTATTTGTTTATTGTCATATGAACGTGTTTTCGAACGTGAACAGAATAAAGCAATTTCAGTAATTTTGCGATAAGATTCCAAGAATTCTTTTTTCACAGAATAACTTCTATGTATAACTGAACAGATCTGTGCGGTGAAATTTACAGTGGAAGAAATAGAGAGAACCAGTAAATGTCGAATTCAAAAAGCTATTCAAGTGTTCTTGCCTGTATCTCGACATTAAACCAGATATATTACACTCATCTAGCTTATCAATTAGTTCCAGCAACAAGTCAGTTACCATTTCGGTTAAAGTATTAACATTATAAAGCAACGATAAATACTCACAAAGGCCGTCAGTGTTACGACGTAGTATTGCTTCAGTGAGTTAAATATTGGAGTGTCCTTCAAAACAAGTTGCCCGATCCAATAACTGCCGTTGGAAAAAATTTTCTTGACGCTGAATACATCGCATGAATCTTTATACTGGAAATTAAAAAAAAAGAATTGAAAAATAATCATTGTCGCAAAAACCAACGTTAATCTCGTGTTATTTGAAAATACATGACGAAGTAAAAAAGTTTTGTCTTTTACATTTCAAAAAGGAAAAGAGATACGATAAATTCATTTCTTTGAATTTTGTTACTCTACCGATGAAAGTTTATCAGATGAAATCTGTTGCTATAAAACGGGATAATGTAGCCCGATTTTTCAACGAAATCAATTTTACATTTTTTATCCTAACACTAAAATGTTGTATCAATAACAATAAAACTCAGTACATCAGTCAGAATGTAAATAGTGTAAATAATGATGACTCCTCATCAAAGAAATTCAGATAAGGTCATGTATGTCCAGAATATTGTTCAGTCGGTTGTGCTGTCATTCCTATATTTTTGACGGGTACTATGCGAGTTCTTTACGTATCCTTATTACAAAATGTTGATTTAATGGCTTAAGACTTAACTTTTTGGGAACTTGCATGATGATATATCTTTAATGAAATTTACATTTTACTTATTTTAGAAAAATAGGACTGGCGGATGAATCCGTAATTAAGAGTTTTTTTTTTAATCATTTCACCCCAAAGTAAGGCAATGAAGCCACTACATCGCAAGGGGTTACTGAGTGGTAGAAAATATGAGAAAAAACACTATCAATGAAAGAATAGGAATTAAAAAGACAGCAGATAATGATTGACATTGTATTTAAATTTTTGAAGATCAAAGTTGACTGGAAAGCAAGAAGCCGGAAGAGGGTTCCATAAGCGAGAAGTACGCGAGGAGAAACTGTTAGAATAAAAATTACGGTTACATCTAACGGTTTCAACTATAAAATGATGAGACGTTTTTAAAGATGAAAGTTGACTGGAAAGAAAGAAGCCGGAAGAGAGTTCCACAAATATGCTAAACAAACAAGATAAAGAAATCATTTCCTCGATGGAATTTGAAACCTAGATCTAGCTTCGAACCACACACACTTGCTATATAACTGAAAATTAAGATGACGATACTATAATTTGTAAAATAATGGCTATATTTTATTTCAAATAATAACATTCTGATATAATAATATTATAAAATACATTTTTTTTAAATGATGAAGACTATACCGATTTTTATTAGATGAAAAATTGTCAACCATTATTTATTTGGAGCTAATATTTCTTTCATCATAATTTCAATTGCTTTTCATCGCAACTATTTGGATCGTTATCCCACGGCAGTTACTATACAATGTTAATCACAAAAAAAAAGAATAAGCCCTCGACTGTATTACTACTTCCGATTTCTTAAACGTGATTTTTGATAATGGCCTTAGATTGACGATCCAAATAGTTGCTATGAAAAACAATTGAAAACAGATGAAAGACATACGAGTCAACAATTAATACTATCTGACAATCGTAATTTTACTGATAATGGTAATATTAGCCGTTTCCTTATAGGGAAACGATCGGCATAAACTGACCGAGCAGCCAATGGTACTGTCGGTTTAAATTTATAAAATCTTTCTAGTAAAGCATTTTTTTTATTCTGGGAAATAAGTTTCTCAAGTCCACTTGCTGTTATCGATCTTTCCAGTACTGATGGGGGTTTCCTTCCTCAACTTCTGTTTAAAGTAGTGTAACATTTTTATAATGACATTTTTTTCTATTTTGAGTTACATATCATATCCATTTTAATTGTTACTGCTGTTGAAAGTCCTCAAGTGATGTGGTTTACTGTTATTTGCTTTAGTTCTTTCTTTGTGATTCGACAAGTTTCGAAGAAAGATGGTTTTCACCACGACCCATAGATTTACTCTCTCGAAGCTATTTTTTAAGCATTGATTTTAAAAAGCGGTTGCATATAGCTGAAAGTTTAGATATTTCTGAACAGGCCTGTTACCATTCATGACATCCATATGAAAGCCTTGAATACGACATGAATATGACATGATATGTCAGGTTAATATTTGGTTTTGCAGCAATTTGCGATGTTGGGCAAGACTAACTTTAGTATAGCCTATTGTATGTTCAATTTCTTTATTTCCTATGATAAATTTGTTATAATTGACCCATACACTGAGTGTACCGTCTAATAAAAATTCGAGATGATATACTACTAATAGTTAAGCAGTATACATCAGGGATATTAAATATAGCGTACAGTATTTGTTGGAAAATAAAGAATGCGCTTTATGTGGTTAGATTTGACCTCTTTCTAGCCGTAAGCCTCTCAAAGCTCAGTTAAGATCAGCCCTTACGAAAATATACTCTTCCCGAAGAAAAGAAGTGCGAGTTAGTGTCTCGATGAAAGGCCGAAGATGGAGCATTGCCTGCATATTTGGACTAGAGCTGCCTAATCCTCACTTCCCCCACACACACCTTGATAAAGTTCAAAAGCGTTTATGTGGCCTTGTAGGCGATGAATTATTTTCAGCCCGTTTCTCGCAGACGAAATGTTGCAAGCTTATCGTAACACTATCGCTATTTCCATGGCAAATGTGCAGAAAAATTACATTCCTTAGCACCACCAGTTCCCACCTTTACAGATAGGACACGTCATACCACGTACACGAAGTCGAATCATCCTTACTTCCTTCCTATTGCATAGGTAAGAAGGAAGTTGCGTCCAAACAGGTTCTTCGCCAGAAAAGACTCACGAGAGGGCGCTTCTTCGATCACTACAAACTTAACATCTTTCGGCCGAGGCTCAACCGTTATCTATCCTACACATCCTCATAATTAGCACTTACTTCCTCCTCTTACGTTCATACAACAACCTCATTCAGTCACCCTCTACCTTGATTGGCTCTTTGTCATTGTATCGAGCGAACACGTAGTAAAAAAATATTCTTTATTTCCGATCCGCGGTGTTTACTAACGGTCGTAGAATGATAGTCGAGAGGGTTGCGATGAAAAACAAATGAAATTAAGGTGGTAGAAGCTTCTTCTATGCGCTGTTTTGCTTCGAATCGTGAATGATCATGGCTCTCTACAACTTCCTATCTTTTGTAGCGATGCTCTCTTCCGGCTCCTTGCTTTCCTGTCCACTGTGATCTACAAATATCTAAATGCAACGTCATTTTTTTTCTTTTTTAATTTTATTGTCCTTTCGCTTCAACAGTATTTTCTCATTTTCTTTCATTTGCTTCGTGTGGAATGATTAAAAAAAGCTCTTCAGAAAGAAACAATTGAACTTTCTAGAACACGTAACGAGGAAAGAAGAGTTGAAGAACATTCACATGTCGTATTGAAGGCAAGAGGGACGGGGAAAATTGCGAGTGGCATGCATAACGAAAATGTAATGAAGGTAAAGGAATAATAGTCAATAACAGTTAATAAATAAGCATGGCTTTATACTTACAAATGAATCTTCTGTCTTTTCGCAAATGACTTCCAGTGGAACGTTGTGCAAATCTACGTCATGCACAACAATCTTTGGCAAAAGGGTGCTGTTGTACGGCGCTGACTAATAAACAAAAAATAAACATTTGATTAACGTTTATCACATTTTGATCCTAAGTGCAAAACAATTGTTTTGTATTGCGTTTTTGTGATGATCCCATAGATGAGTTCATCTATCGTCTGCTTCACACCGCTCCTTGGTCTTTGGAACAGGAGTATAGATTAATTCCCTTGTTTTCTGTTTAGGATTGGGTTTCCGGTTCCTTCTAAAATTTTCTCATTATCTTTTACTCCAAGTAACCCCGCTTGCGTCTTAGTGACATTATTACCTTACATGAGGTGAATTGATTAAAAAAAAAGGAAAGAGGGCAAAATACCCTAAAAAAAAACAATAAGTTTCAAAAGGAAGCATTTTCTCTTGATACCGCTATTTCTGTATCCTTCCTCGGTAAGTTTTGTTGTTTTAAAAGCTATTTTTACAATTTTAATAAAACCCAAGCATATGAAAGTGGATTTATGTATTCTGTGTTTTGGGGTTTTTTTTCCCTCGAGAATTGACAATAAAAGAATGAAACACTATTTATTTTATCAGATTGTTTATTTACAAGAATAATTTTATAATTTGCTCTGGCCACATAAATTCACTAAAATAGGTTGCAAGCATCTGGATTTATACTTTTTCTCGAAAATTGGCAACAAAATATTAAACACTATTTATTTATTAGAAATATAGTTATTTACAAGAATACTGTTTAATACTTTTGTTGTCACTTCTCGAGAAAAAAGAAAACGTATAAATCCAGTTTCATATGTTTTCAGTAAAAATTGCCAAGCGAGTATACAATAATAGCGGTGTCAAGAGAAAAACCGTCTTTTTGCCGGTACGTTTGTTAAACATTGACGAAAGATGATTGCCGGTATTACAGAGGATTGTCATTCGAATAACATCAAAAACAGAACACCTGAACCCAAATCCTGTACGGAATGTAACTGTATTATTTATTTACACTGCACATACTGAATCATGGAATAAAAAAAAACACTTTCTCCACATTGAAGCAATTAATATTGCCACTAAGATTGTTCTTTTTCCAGTGAAAGCAAATTCTTCGTAAAAGCTATTGACATGTTGATTACAGATGTTATAAAATAAAATAAGACATATCTCGGCTGATTTACAGGCAAATAAACTAACATACTCAAGAGCGAGAGCCGGAAGTGAACGGGACAAGGCCCTGTCACAAAATTACTATTATCTTCGCTTACGCATGTTCCCGACGCACGAGTGCCGGTCGAAAAATAAAATAATATTTTAAAGTGTTTCTATTTTTCAACCAATAAAAATGCTTCCCGCCTAATTATACTCGCGTCGTTTTTCGAGCCTGTTAAGCCATAAAAAAACGCCATAAAAGGGGTCACACGGAAGTACAACGGCAGTCAACAGGAGGCCAGGGAAGAGACCTGTCACGGTCAGGCTGAGCGGTCAGCAGCAGCCAGCAGCCGTAGCGCCACGCCAACCAGCGAGAACTACTATGAGAGATCAACCCAGGTTGGCAGCCGGCTTATGAACTATACCACAAGGTAGCTGTCCTAAAACCACACGTTCCTATTGAAATAAATCACGTAAATCTATTTCTACTGTTGTCGTATTTCTTTCTTGCAACCATAAGCTTGTCTATAACACAGATATTTCTTTCAAATATCTCATTTCTTTAAGGAAATACTCCTTTTCCAACCCAACATAGATGGCCATAATTTTTTTTAAAAAGAAATCTCAAGATCATTACATATTTAAAATAAATTAATACGCAAAGAATTAATAAAATAATAAATAATTACATTTTAAAAACATGAACAAATAAAAATTATACAGCAACAACATTTACTTACTTTTGTTTATTAAGCAATATATTGTATCAGTTAGCGTCCTCCATAGTTTATTTTTCCTTACATATCTAGCTTTAAGAATATTTTTAGAGTCTTCTCAAATTTAAATTTTGAAAACTTAACGATAGTTTCCTCAAATTTACTTGTGTGTATAAATACAAGTTACAAAATAAAATCCCCATGTTTACCATGATAAAGTTACTCAGGGAACGAAACGCGTTGGTAAAGAAAAGTTATCCTTTTGTCTGTTATCTATATTGTATTTACAGATATATTTTATTTATATATGAATTATTACACATTATACGATAATGGGCAGAAACGTTCATAGGCTGACTGTAAAGGTTGAGAGTAGAGCTGTGAAATCTTTCATGAATTTATTTCATCTTTTCTTATTAAGAACTGCATTGTTTCTTTCCAGATAAAACGACTTCAGACTGTTCAAAGAAGACTAGAAAAAGTAACTAGTAGCGATTTGTCTTGAAAATGGAAAACATTTGACATCGTGGTTTTATCAAGTACCTGGAAACAAAAGGTTTGGCTCCCAAGGATATTCAAGTTTTCTACATTAGAGGATGATGCTCCATTTTTATCAACAGTGCAAAAGTGAGCAGCTGAATTTAGGAGGGGAATAGAGAGTTTGGACGTCCTATAACTGCAACTGCCGAGGAAACCATGATCGTGTTCACCAAATCGTGATGGATGACAAACGATTGACTATAAATCAAATAGCCAATGCTATTAGCATACCCGTGAGAGAGTTGAGAATATTCTGCACAATGAACTTGGCACGAGGAAGATTTCTGCTTGGTGGGTGCCACGTCTTCTGACACCTGATCAAAAGCGCACCAGGCTGACCACATCACGGAAAAATCTGACATTTTTTGAGGCAGTTCTGTCTGGTTTTCTTGAACGTTTCCTTACTCAGGATGAGTGTTGGGTTCATCAATTTCAGCCAGAGATAAAAAAAAAAAAAAACAATCCATGCAGTAGAAACGCTCATCCTCACCCATTCCAAAGATGACCAAAGTCGTTTCATCTACAGGGAGGGTGATAACCTGAATTTTTATTGACTATCTTCAAAAGGACACCACCATAAATGAAAAGTACTATTCCAACTTGCTGAGGCACTTACAAAAGGCTATGAACACCAAACAGTCAGAAAAACTGACGGAGTGTGGTTTGTTTCATCAAGCCAATGCTCCAGTACACAATTCCTTGGTTTCAAGTGATGGTGCGCGTACCTATGGCTTTAAACTGGTTGATCCCCTTCCCTATTCTTCTGGTTTGGCCCCACCTGACTATTATCTGTTCCCTAACAGTAAAAAACACTTGCCTGGCAACAAGTATCGCAGTGATGATGACGTCATATCTTCTGTTGATGACTTTTTTTGACCAACAGGATGAAAGCTTCTTCACCAATGGGATCCAAGCACTGCAACACTTTATGGAAAAAGTGTGTGGACCATAAGGGGGACGATATTGAAAGATAAAACTCATTTGGTCACATTCCGTGAGACTATCTTGGTCAGCTTATGAACATTTCAGCTGTGGCACGTAGATTGTCTATTCTTTTGTCACATATGTATCTTCACTGATAGAAAAATTGCAATTCCTTAAATACACTCGTTTTAATTTATTGAAGATTAAACATACCTGTGATATATAAAATCCTGAAAAAGGAATAATGAGTTGCTAATCAATACTGTACGGCCAGATACCCCAAATAAACTATTACGACCGGCTTAGTCAAATTGTGCATTCGATAAATAACATGTTGTTTTGGTTTTGAGTTTTTTTCAAGGTTTCATTTAATGAATTTTCAATTCCTAATCAATTAGAAGATTGATTATATTAAGCAACTTACCAGCGCTACTGAAGAATTGTAAAGTATTTGGCTAAATGTCGGGGAATTGTCGTTGACGTCTGTCACTTTGATAACTCTTTCCTCGTATGAAACACGGTTACCGTCCTGAAACATAAATAAATAAATAAATAAGTAAATAAAGTTTACTACTTATTACCAATAAGTTTTTATTTACCGCCATAATATTTTTAACACTTCTACTGCTGTGGACGTACGTATACGTCTTTCCAAAATTTACATTGCCTGCTGTCATCGTATATATACGTTTCCATGACACTGTGAAATGTCGGTCTCTAGTTAACTAATTACCGTTTAGTGTTATTTCCAAACCAGTGTAGATATGCGTAATGGTAATATTAGCCGTTTCTTTATAAGAAAACAATTATTGACAGAGAAGCAAGTGCTACTTACGGTTGATATTTATAAGATCTTCCTCTTAAAACAATTTTTCAGAAAAGTTTCTTTTATGTGCCGTGTCCCTTCAGGATTCAGGCGATAACAGCCCTCCACATTTTCCTGTCTCTTTTGGCTCTTAATAAGTTTTGTCTTTTTGTTATTTCTCCCAAACCCTGTCGTTTAGCTTAGTCTGTACCGTTGAGTATCCGATCGAAAACAAAATGGAGGCGTCCCTGAGGAATCGTTTTTATAGTCATTTATTTTCATTAAATGACAATTTTATATTTTCTCCAAACGAACCAGCACATGCAGCAGTGAAATTTTCACCTGCTTTGGCACAAGATTAAATCGAAGGGAAACTTCAGTATAAAGACTGTATTTCGGCAATCTTCCAAGTTTAGAGGGTCTGGCTATTCGAAATCCCGAACTGTGTTATCGAACAGAATTCATTGGCATTAGTGGGAAATAAGCAGCTATTTAACGCACAGCACAACCTAATTATTTTTATAGAAGAACACCCAGAGGCGATCGGACTTACTAAGATATAGAATCGATCTGTCAGGTGAGCTTATTAACCATCACGCTACGGTGCTCGTCTATTTGTTGTTTAATTATACATAGATGTGAGAGTCAAAATGAGATTATAAAGATTCAATAAAAACATTTCATAAAGATCACTGGTGATTGATTGACTGATTTGTTTTTTACGACTTATCAACCTTTTGCAGATTATTTAAAACCAAAAGATATTTTTAGATCGTAAGAATTTTTTTGGAGATCGTAATGATTTTAGTGATAGCAGTTATACTAATTAATGTATAACTGGAAGAGAAGAGGTGAATTCATACATTTCCCAAGGATGAATATAACGAACCCGACTGGAATTGTAATTCGGCTTTTTGTTTTCCAATTTCGAATCTTTATCCATTATACCATGCGCACGTACAAGCTTACAGCACCTTGTATTCCTAAGCGGTCACCTATCTAGATCGAACGAGAACCGGTGTTTCAATTTGATGTGGTCGTAAGCCTGTATAGAATGTGCTTCGCTAAGGATAAATACCGTTTCGAATTTGTCCTTCTCATAGATTGGTTATAAGAAAAGATATAAAAAGAGATCTCGTTCATAAGGTGAGGATTCCAAAAGAAACACTGAACTGGGCCAAATAGGGAAGATGGCTGAAAATCCAGCAACATTCGATGTAGTGTTGCCAAATTGGACTACTATTGAAAGTCCAAAGCTATTACGATTTGAATTTAACTTTTTACAATTTTGTAAAATAAGGTACACTTAAAATACGATAGAGTAACATATATAATGCAACCATAGATAGATAGATAGATAGATAGATAGATAGATAGATAGATAGATAGATAGATAACATAAGCTACTAATGAGAAAAAAATCAATTCAAAATAGACACGAAACATGAAGTCACAAATCATTCAAAACAAACTTGCCTTGTTCAAACTATTGTTCATGTCAGATTATGCGTTATCTCCCAGAAACAATAACTAAGGTCTGCTCAGTATAGTTACAATATAAACGACAGGTTGGTTCTATGGATGCTAAAGATACATAAAAAATGCTTGAACGGGTGATTAGCTAGTCATCCTAGCAGACAGGTGTACCTGGAAATGAGTAGTCAGCTATATATAATCCCTCTACAAAGATAGATAGATATTGAAAGAAAGAAAGAATGAGCAAAGAATAAACTAGGCTTATTGAAGTTCGTTTTTTGTTTAGGGCTCATGCGAAGGATTATTTAAAATCGAGATTCATTAATTTATTAATACCTAGAGTCTAAGCTCATTCATTATATACATACATACATACATACATACATACATATATATATATATATATATATATATATATATATATATATATATATATATATATATAATTAAAAATGTATTGAATATTATTCGCTTACTTTTTTTGCCAGGCCTTGAATTATGTCACTTTTGTGTCCTCCACATATTTCTGACTGACCTTTCAACCACCTGATAAACACACATGCCATCCTCACTTTTGTACGTAAACACATGCAACAAAATAAATCCTACATTGCCTTGATAAGGTTCCTCAGAAGATCGAACGCGTCGGCTAAGAATAGTTTTTCCTCTTGTCGCTTTTTATTTATTTTGTTACTTTACAGATACACTATCTGAAAAATAATTTAATATATATATATATATATATATATATATATATATATATATATATATATATGTATGAGGAAAATATATGGAAAAGTCAGACTAATCAAAACAGACAACTGAAATTTTTCAAGATCAGCGTTCCGTTTTGATTAGTCTTACTCTTATGTCCATCGTCTTTTCATGTTGAACTAAATATAGTCTAATGTTAATTATGTTTTATGAATATGTCCTGAAGATGGTCTACTAGACCGAAACGTCCAACGTTGACATTATATTAACATTAAAACAGCATAATTGCATATTAGGATTTTTGTTTGTTTTTTTTTTTCCGTATATTTTTCTTCATACTGTCGGCTCTATATTCATATATTTGCTTATATATATATATATATATATATATATATATATATATTTACAGCCAAAAAACTAAAATTATCCGAACCCTTTCGTTTTTTGTTTTTTTTGGGGCTGTAAAAATACATATGTTCTGTTATAATAAATACATCGAGCTCTCTGTAGATCAGTTTCAATAACTAATATTATTAGGATCCACCCAGATTATATACCAACGTATCGATTACCTGTAATATATATATATATATATATGTGTGTGTGTGTGTGTGTGTGTGTGTGTGTGTGTGTGTGTGTGTGTGTACTTTAAATAAAGTTCTGATTCATAACTTATCCGATGACCTAAGTGCTATTCTTGACCATACTTACCGTTGCCTTGATTCGGATTGTGAAGTTCGGGTATATCTCAAAGTCGAGTTTATTCCTAACCACAATCTGGCCCTTCCAGTATCTTTTATTTTCGTCGGATGTGCGTACAATCCGAAAGTTTTGACAAGCTGTAATATACTGTAAAATAATTAAGACATTATTTTTCAACATAACAACTGACATCTGAATGTTTATGTGGTTTTAATAAAAAAAATACATATATATTAAAAATATATGAATGAAGCTAAGCACCAAACTTGAAAGCATGATTCTTTTAAATTGCCGTACAATCGTATCTGCTAATATTGAACCCCTTCGTAGTTCACATTACTATTGTATTACATAATGATTATTTGCTTGTAGATAATATGAGATATTTGAGATGATTGAGCTAAGTTGAATGGGATTTGTAAACACTACTTTATAGACGAAGAAACTGCCATATTCTTAGTGTGTAGAATATAGCAGTGCAGTTTGAGGTTGTTCAAAGTGCAATATCATTTATTACTAATGATTGTTAATACAGAGAAAGCTTCTTTTTTTTCAGATATCAACAATTCTTTCGGAAAAAGCTATGTGCAGTCTTGCATAAACAGTTAAACACATATGGGGTATCAATGAAATACTATTTTCTGGTTTTTGAATGCCATGTTAAATGATACAGTTTTGTGGGGCTGGAGACAAAAGCTCATGGAAATATTCGATTACTAAAAATGTTTTGAAAATAGATCATATTTTAATCATATCACATACTCCCGAGAGGGTGCTTCCCCAATAACTACAATTTTAACGTCTTCAAGTTTAGGGTTAACCGTTATCTTTCCTACATAACCTCATAAATTGCACTTCTTGCCTCCTTCTCTTACACTCATGCAACGGCATCATTCAGTAGCCCTCTACATGGAGTGGCTCTTGGGATTTGCATTGGGTGAATATTATGAAAAAAAAACTTCAAAAAAGATCCTACAAATTTAAAAATAATATTAACCTTTATTTAAGGACATTTAAAAAGTTTGGACTTGTTTTATTTCTTGCTTATTTTTATATAACTTCAGTGAATTTCTGTTGAATTTGTTTTTAAGTAAATAATTGTGTAATGTTTTAAAAAAAAAGAAATTCTGGCTGGGTTATGTTTAACTTTGAAAGAATCCATTCTTAATAGCGAAAACAGGGTTGTCAAATTAAAAGCTTGAAACACTTTTTCTACTTCAACTTACATCGCCACGCAGTGACTGGTCACATGTTACAGTCAGCACACCCACATTGCTTGTTTCATCAATATCAATAACCTCTAGAGGTGGAGAAAGTGAAGTCCCGATTGGAGCATCCTGAAAATAAATAAAGTAAAAGTTAAAAAGTAAAATATATATATATATATATATATATATATATATATATATATATATATAAGCAAATATATGGATATAGATCCAAACAGTATGAAGAAAAAATATACAGAAAAAAACAAACAAAAATCCTTTCATAAATATAATTTAATATTCAACGTCTTTGTCATAAAATTGATAATTTCATAATTATATTTTAACATTATATTGTCCTTGAAGATGGTTTATTAGACCGAAACGTCCGACGTTGACATTTATATTAACATTAAAACAGCATAATTGCATATAAGGATTTTTTTGTTTTTTTTTTTTTCTTCATATATATATATATATATATATATATATATATATATATATATATATATATATATATATATATATATATGCATGTCTGATTGAATAAATTATAGATATTATGTCTGCTAATTTTACCCAAATCTGTTCGTACTCACGAATAAGCTTCCATGTATTGATGTTAAAGGATGAGAGAAATGTGCTATAGCTGTTTAAATTTCTTTTATTTTCATTTCCTAAGTACTTTCGATCTTCTTCCAAGATCATCTTCAGGGGTGCAAGAAGCACAAAACTATATATTGTTTATTAGTACAAGTATTTATACAAAATCTTTTTATGCTTTTATTCATTACTGTAATTTTTCATTGTGCTTTAAAATGCAAAACAGTTGACAATGTGCTGAGCGTTCATTATATATATATGTGTGTGTATGTATGCGTGCGCGTGTGTGTATGTACTGTAGAATAGAATTTTTTTTCTAAAATATTCATTTTTTACGTCTCAATCTCAACCAAAAAGTCAATTTTCTTAAATAAAGCTTTCTATTATTGTAATTTGTATTTTCTATGTTTTATAGCAACAAATTATCTACTGAACAATTATCCACAAGGGATTTAAATACATTTTCTGATTTATTGCCAGAAGATCAGTTCTTTGAGTCATGGAAAGTTGCTTAAATTTAACATACCCGATCTTAAGCACTTTCAAATTTTAATCTGAATGGACTTCGCTGATGACCGAGAAAATATCTGGCGAAAGACTCAGATGTATTGACAAGTGTACGTAAATTTACATAATGGCTTCTACAGATCTTAGATGGCACATGCTGTTCAAATCTCACTTCCAAACTTTATATATATATATATATATATATATATATATATATATATATATATATATATATATGTTGATTGAATAAATTACAAACATTATGTCTGCTTATTTTTATCAGAATCATTTCATATTAACGAATCATTTTTCCGTATATTACAATTAAATAAGGGAAGAAATATACGGAAATATATATTCGTGGATATGAAAGGATTATGGTAAAAATAAGCAAACATAATGTTTGTAATTTATTCAATCAGATATGCCTAAAAGAGAATTTGCTGCCTAAATACAAAATATACATAATGTCATCCACATACAGGCCCTTTTCGCTGTATCACAGCTCATCGGCGCAGCTAGACATCCAATTGCTTTAAGCCGGTATCGAAACACGACCGATTTGGTATCAGCCGGAGTTTCTACCCATGAGTTATTAACGCACGGCAGAAGGAAAGGGAAACTCTAGCGTATTATTTTTTACAAATGTAAACAAACGCCAAACAGCTATAGTGTTCAATACATTTTCAGTGAAGAGCATTACGTTAGGGGAGATGGCTGCTGTTTAGAATTACCCTATCTCTCAACAGAGCTCAACCGAAATTTTTCGAGAGCATAGCCGTTGTTTAACTCAACATATCTCAAAATCTGTATCTTCTTTTTTTAACCCATGATCAAATAATTTCTACATGTTCTTAATGCTGTATCTTTGAATTATAATCAACAAAGCTTTAAATATCTACAAAAAAAAAGAAATTCACTTTTCTGGTATACGTAATAATAACACAGTTCTGTATGAATCGAATATAATTAAAGGTATTTGAAAAGAAAGTATAAACGATAAAGAAACCATTGATTGAAAGAGACTTTACGATTTACAATTAAATTTAACCTACAGTTGACTGCGCCAATCAGACGTGGAAATGAGGGATATATTGTTTTGCTGCAATTTTCATAATGCAAGCAAATTTTCATTTCGTTGGGAAATTTATGAACAACGTACTCGTCACAAGCCACGTGTGAAGTTCCAAATGAAAAAAAAAACTCTCATAGAACCACATGAAATGCACGCAATATCAATCAGTTCAAACATTGATTTTGTTTTTTACATTCCAGCTGAAACAGTCTTATGTCTCTTAGAATCATTTTCTTTTAGACAAATGATTTTGTACTCGATTATAATCTAGGATTTGATTCCTAGTCAACAGTTTTAGCTTCTTTGCTAAAAAGAAAATCGCTTAGATTTTCCTGTAAAAAAGAAGCTAAAACTGTTTATACTAGAGAAGTTAAGACAGCCAAAGCACGCATTTTTGTACGCTGCCAGATATATGAGTATTCATGTTTAAAACATCGTCTATGCCGTTTATGTAACATTATTCTCGCTTATTTCCTTTCAGTTTTGACAGCTGATATAATGAATCTTTAAATTAAATAGGAAAGCAGATGTTTTACCTCTGATACAATCCAATTACTTTTCAAGGGTGTGAACTTGGGGTTGTGGTCGTTGATATCAGATATAATGACAGAAATATTGTGTCTGGAAATGTAAATACCATCCTGAAAATTAATAAATGTAAAATAAAATAAAAGGTTGAAAAGCTGATACCTTATTTCAAAAAGGTTTCTAATTGGAATGATTCAATTTTAGCTCTATTAAGTGCGAAATAAAATACTAATTATTTGCGTGCCTATTCTCAAATTATTATTGTTGTTATTTTTATTATTCCTTTGATTTCTGCTGTATACTCGTTTCCTTCCGGGTCCCAACCAGAAACTTAAGGTCAGAAATGGCATCATGACATTTTCCATTGAACGTTTCTATATAAAATAAAATAACCAAAGTTCATACACATTTTACATAGATAAAACCCTTCATGAGGTGTGAGCTGTACATGTGGGAACAATTTTTTGTATTTCTTTAAGGTGTGGGCTGCCAGTGATCCCTTCAATAGGTCTATCAGAACCGTTTCCAATCAAACCCAGGATTCCAATTACAACTGGAATCATTGATGCCTTCATGTTCCACATTATTGATATTTCCACTTCATGACCCTTGTATTTTTTAAGATCTTATAAGATACCTTACAGTCTGCAGGAAATGCTATGTCAATGAGAAAGAATATTCTGTTTTTGTGGTCTTTGATAAATATGTGTGGGCCATTAGCTTTGATTTTTCTGTCTGTATATATTGTAAAGTCGCATAAAATTGTTACCGGTCCTATTTCTGTAACCGGGTCCTGGTAATGTTCATGCCAGTTTCTTGCAGTTTCCTTCTCTTAAAAGTTATATATTTTCCAGTGCAAATTTTGACCCTCTCTATCATACCGAATTTTATATTCAGTGGGTATTAACACTGTGCAACCTGATACAAGATGGTTAATTGTTTCTGAATATTTATCACAGAATCTGCATTTGGAGTCAACACACTTTTTCAGTATGTTCGCTTGGTAATTTCTAGTTAGCAACTATTGGTCCTGTGGAGCAAGAATAAAACCATCGGTATCAGCTTTTAATCCGGCACTACATAACCACTTTTTGGTACGGGGTCCGTCTACTTCAGCTTGTTTGGCACGGACAGAGTATTGACCATATAAAGGTTTATCTTGCCATTGCTTCTGCATTTGGTCCATTGCATCTGCTTTTGTTTTTTGTATTTGGTCATTGCATTTGCTTGCCTTTTTCACGTTCTTTGCTGATTTTATTATTATTACTACTACTATTACTATTATTATTATTATTATTATCATTATTATCATTGCATTGTTTAGTACGTGCTGACCCAAAGTCTCAGCTAGAGGTGTCAAGGGACAGTGATTTTTTACCTAAAGTTCTTACAGGTGTGTTGCCATGTATATTGTGAGGATGGAAAAATGTTCAACATTTGTGTAGAAAATTTAAACTTCTGTCTGAATTTCTGGAATGAGGAGTTTCATTATTCACACTACTTACATTTAGACTATTGTCCTCATCTTTACAATGTTTAGGCTGTTGTTCCTTCCGGAATTTATCAGATTCCAACATCATTATCAACAAAGATTCGGAAAATAGTCTACATGTAAATAGTGTAAATAAGTATATTTAAGATTAAGAATTTTGTAATTTCTCTTTAAATTCCATTATCTACATAGAGAGAAATTTGTGTAAGATATGTGAGATGTTTGTACACTTCCCATTTTAAACTATCATCGTTTTCGTATTCTTTGTTGACTTCTTTATCATCTCCTAGGCATGCAATATCTCTTATGATGCATGTTCCTTCTTCTTTATCCACAAAAAAAATGTCTGGTTTTCTGCACAATACTTCATGGTTATAAAAGATGTGTACTTGTCATCTTTAATGACGCCTTAAAGGTTTTAGTCCATACCAAATTTTTGCCCTCTATAAACCATTCTTGCAACGTAAATGTGCCATTCTTGCAAAATTATCATGTCTCCTTTTGTATTCCTTCTGCGCCAACTTCGTGCATTTACTGACACCACACCACACTCATTATTATTATTGTTATTATTATTATTATTATTATTATTATTAAAAAATTGTTTTCACTTGCATTTGTTTTATAATCCTATGACTTAACGCAAGCGAAGGGTGTCATTTTTCTTTGTTTCCACTTAATTAAACAAAAGACATATATTAAATTAGTATTATTTCCATTTTCTCTGAAACTTTGTCAATGCTCACATATTCAGTCCATGCTATTCTCAGCATCCTTCTGTAGAACAAATTATTGTTGCCTGAAGTATTTTCTTCATCTGTAAAGCATTCACTGCCATATAGGAAGACCGATATTACATAACAGTTGAATACTTATTTTTGAGTATTCTCTAACGAGAATTTCCTGTTTCTTAATAATTTGCTTAGCTATTTGAAGGCATCTTATATACTTTTGTTTTATTTTCTTGCAGTGACTTTGCTTTCTATCTGCCTTCACAACGACACTGAAAACAAATTTGTTCTTTATTTTATTAAGACATGCTGCATCTCTTCTACAGATAGATATAGAAGCAAATATATGTTTAAGAGATGCATATTAGCTAGAAAATTTGTTGATATCATCACAGACTATTTTCAACAAAGAAAAAAGATGCCGAGCAATATGAAAAAATGCGCCTATTTTTGTTAGTTGCTAAGCATTCAGCTAAATCTACAAAAGAGTTTTGGTAAGGTTTCCTGTGCCAATGGAGCCTGTTATCTACATGAAATTCTTCTCAACTCTCGACAACACTAACCCAAATCAAAAGGGACTTTTCAAACAAAACAAACGTAAAAGGTGCAAACCGTTGCCAGCAAGTTGATGACATAAGCTTTCTTGTTTGATTCATAATCAATGTTTTTTCGAAGGACGACGTCTCCTTCCCATCGGTCACTGGCGATCGACGATGACCGCTCGACATCAAAAACTTCACACGCTTCCTTTGCCTGTCAAAAGCAATCAAATAAAATTATGAGGCTAAACAGAAAATTAGTAATGCGATTAGAAGTAAAAATCTGTTCTAGTTTACGCAAAATTCGCAATAACCAAACGTATATATTTGGACTGTTTTTCCTAGCCATATTTTTCTTCTTTTTTTTTTACAATTTTAATGAAATTTGTTTATGTTTTTCCACAGTTCTTTTTCTTTATTATCTGCGAATAGCCATGACTTCTTGGGAAAGCTATCCACACCTTAGTGATAAGATAAATCAAATTATTTAACATATATCATATTTAATATATATATATATATATATATATATATATATATATATGTGTGTGTGTGTGTGTGTGTGTGTGTGTGTGTGTGTGTGTGTGTGTGTGTGTGTGTGAAAACCTGATATATAAATCAGACTAATGGTAGGTACTTGAATGACGAAATGGTAACACTTTATGTAATGCGTTTTGTGTTTCAAAAGGCCTTCATCAGTCAAAATTAGTTCTATCTGTAAGAATATTTTCTAGTCTGATGAAGTCCTTTTAAAAGAGGAAACTAGATTATAAATAATTTCAAATCAGTTTTCCTTTTTCTTTATTTCCTTTTTAATTTTTATTTATTTATTTACTTACGTTTCTATCGTTGCTCCATTATTAATTTAGTCAAAGCAGAGAATAAATTGAAACAACCTCTGGTCATATTTTAATCTAATCTGTCCATAATCTATCTTACATATTTATAAGTCTACCATTCATCCATACTTTGAATATTGAATATTACTACCACATCCTGTGATATATTTAGAGATTCTTAATAAAATCCAAAGAAGAATCTGCAATGTTATTGGTCCTGACCTGGTACTCCGGTTTCATTCCCTTTCCCACCACTATAATATAGTTTCCTTGTATTTTTCTATAAATACTTTCATCGTAATTGTTCTGATGAATTTGCTCAGTGGTACCTTGACTTTATGAATTTAAGCGCAGTACTATATTGGCAATAATATATCATCATTTTACAGCTGTATTGGTTGAATGTAACCGTAAGCTCTTTGCTAACAGTTTCTTTTCTCGCCCTTTTCGCCTGTGAAACACTCTTCTGGCTTCTTGCTTTTCAACCAACCCTTCAAAAATTTAAATGCAATGTCAGTCGTTATCTACTGTGTTCGTGATTCCTCTTCTTTTATTGTTCTTGCTCCTTAATAATGTTTTCTTTCATAGTCAGTAATTTGTGTCTTAGTGACTTTATTGCCTTGCTTGGAGTGAAATGATAAAAAAAAGAAAGTATAACGACAGTTAAAGTAAAAAACAATAAATAAAGCATTCAGACGCTTAACGTGAATCCTGTTTCGTCACATTCTTGCAGATTTTGTCCTTCTTTTTCTAATGACGCTGGATCATCAGCGAAACATATCAAGTAAAAATTTTCCAAATTGTCATTTATATTTACCTTATGTGTTTGACAAATTTTGCAACGTTTAAGGAGGGTGTAGATCTTTCTAAGAATTTAATTTTCTCTTGAGCCTTAAGAAATATTGGTTTCTTGAATAAAATTTAATTCTCCTTAAGTCTAGCTTTAAAATATTGAACTAAATATGTGAATGCTGTTTTCTATCAGAGAGCATTAAAAACACATATTTCCATTGGTTCAACAATGATATATCCTTCTGTTGCATTTATTATTATAACGAGTGATATTTTGAGACTTAAAATTCCTATGAGAAATACTACTTTATAATTGCTATGGAAAATGCCTCTTAAATCTTATTCTGTAATCCTCTACCTCGAGTGGCTCTTGGGTGAACATCAAACAGATTCTTTACTTTATCGTAAACGTTTCATTCATAAACTCCTTTTCCTTGTAAATATTCGAAGTCATTGAATTATGTTATGGAAAATGTCTTTTCCTTTTAATTTCAATTATTTTTTTTTACTATATATCATTTAATTTAAAGTTCGAGAGCCACTCAAAAGGAGGTGACAGGGAGTGAAGATTAGGAGGATAAATACCGTTTGATCCTTGACTTGAAGAGGTCAAGATTAAAGTGTTCAGGAAAGCATCCTCGCGGATGGCTTGCCCGCAAGAATGCAAAGTGGCAGTTTATGAAAAGGCTGCCAAAGTGAAGCTTCCTTGTTACGTTTAGAATAAGGGGGAAAATAACGAAGATTTGACTCCATGGAAGCGGTGTGGCGTGTCCTAATTCTAAATCTGGTGGAATTAAAGAATAACGCTCTTTTAAACATTTTCCATGAAAACATCGATAGTCAATCGAAAGACTTGCAGCATTGCACTAATGACAAAGAAGTTGTAAAGTGGAAGATAACATCTCCACAAAACATCGTAATGTTTTTTTTTTGTTTTTGTTTTTCTAAATTCTATCAAGGCCTGAAAATGGAGATTGAACAGCTTCAATACAAATATAGCAACTATAGTTCATTTTTGGCCTTGTCTGACTCTTGTAATGATAAAAGATAAAAGTCGTCAGATACTTCTTTGAATGGTATAGTGATCCGGCCATTTTTTTTTCAGCTACTTTAACAATTAATTATATATATGACTCCCACGAGGTATAGAGTAATCTCGAGAACCAATATGCGTTCAAAGTATGGACAAAAAATAGATCTTTTTTTTCTTTTTCTTTTTGGCTTTGTATGTGTTGTTGTTTCTAATTTGTATTTATTCTGAATTGAGAATTTCTACTTACAGCATCTGACAGTTCTTTGTCGCATTTCACTTCCAAATACCCGCTTCCTTTGTCGGCGTCTGTCACTACAAGGTTGCTAAGAACCACCGCATTAACTTGCACATCCTGTCATTAGAAAGAACAGAAACGCTTCTAAACAAGTCAAATGAAAAAAAAAAGTCACGCACAGATACGAACCACACACACACACACATTATATAAGTCTACAAGAAAGATATATACAAGAACGCAAATAAAAATATACAAGCTGCTGCAAACATATACAATATAGCTATACGTTCCAATGTATGTGAAAGAAATAATGAGAAAAGAAAAAATAGGTATGTAAATTGATAAGGGAAAATATGAAATATAAATTTCTATATATGTTTGGTAATTGAATGACAAAGTCGAAAAATTCTGTGAAACCGCTTCGTCCTCTAGAAGGTTAACATCAGAATAAAGTAATTTTCTTATTGATGGCAGTGTATTTGTATAGGGATCAGGGCGAGATATAAATACAAACGTCATTTATAACTATGCAGCGAGGGGGAGCCATGAAAATGTCGGAACGTTAAATTTTAAATTTTTGATTTTAAAAATTGTTAAGTTTTAATTTATTTTTATCCTATCATTAAAAACGATGTTTACATCCCTCCTGCACATATATAATTCGATCTATAAGAACACTACTGAAATCCTTTTAGAGGATAAAGTCCTTTTAGAGGTTTAAGTCCTTTTATAGGGCGAAAGGCGTTACACAGTTTTACACTTTTTCATTCAATTGCCATATATATATATATATATATATATATATATATATATATATATACACAAAAATGTAATGAGAAATAAGAATATAAATTCAAACGTTCATAACATTAATTTAAAAGAGGGCTCAATACCAAAAGTAAACCAATAGTTATTTATTATAAATTGTTACATACGGACAAACAAGTAATCACTACATCTTTGTTCCTCACTTGATGAGATGCTTACCTTTAAGCATCGCAACAAATATGCACCTTTGTAGTGATTACTTGCTTGTCCGTATGTAACAACTTATAATATATATATATATATATATATATATATAGTTAGTTTTTCGGGGGTTTTTTCTTTGGGCCTTGAACTCGTATGCTGGACGATTATTTTCGGTTAACGTACATGTTCTTGGTTCTTTCTTTTTTTATACCTTTTTCCCCCCTTTGGTGTTGGCTTGTTTATTTGCAAATCAATATACCGAAGGTTTTCCGAGCGAGTATAGTTTCTTATACTTATAAGATTTCTATTAATAATAATAATAATAATAATAATAATAATAATATATATATATATATATATATATATATATATATATATATATATATATATATCAGATGAGGTACACTGTTTACATCTTTGGGACTGTTGTCCTCATCTTTATTGTCATATTTACGACGTTTTACACCTTAAGGAATCAGCGCACATGCTAGACCACATAGACATGAATAAGCCAGCCAAGCCTCGACATGAATACAATATGGGAACCAGTAATACACAGAGCTAAAGAAAAACAACAGTAACAAAAAATTGTAATATGAGTTAAAAAAAAAATGACAAAATTTGTAATGTGGTAAAAAATGGTTTCTGAGACATTATAAGTCCCAAAAATTCACATGGCCCAGTGAATAAAAGCGTTGGTTGAGAAATCAAAAAAGTCACTTCGCCCCAAAAGTTGAGAGTTTAGTTACTCAACGAAATTACTGGAACTGATAATTAGAACAATCTACTCCCGTGAACTAAGTAAAAGATTCGGTTCGAAATTCAAATTTATATGACATAAAGAAGTCCGGAGAATACAACGGCCGAAACGTCGTGAATATGGTAATACGATGTAAATTGTGTGTGTGTATATATATATATATATATATATATATATATAGAGAGAGAGAGAGAGAGAGAGAAGAGAGAGAGAAAGAAAGAGAGAGTGTGTGTAAAATAGAAAAGCGTTTTAAAGACAACGCGTTTTGCCGACGCGTGTTAATTTTGTCGTCTTCAGTTCGGAATGAATAACAAACCAAAACTGAAAGGAAAATATGTTGGGATTTTTTAGGTTAAGAAGGGCAATAAATCTCAAAACATTTTCTTTACATACAGTTTTGTCTTTCATTCCGACTTGAAGGCGCCAGACCTAATACACACTAATGAAACACGTTAAAGCTTTTCCACTTTGTTTTGGATACTATTCTTCATCCTACTAACACACACACACACACAAACACACATATACACGCGCACACACCCACACACACACAGGGAGAGGAGGAGGAAGAGACAAAGAGAGAGAGACGTGATTATTGGAAATCAGCAGAGTTAGGATGTTGTAGGATAAAATGATTATGAAACACTCGGTATGTCATTCCCGGGTCACGTTTGCCATGTAGGAGAGGCCAGATTGATACCGTAGCACGTGCTTTCACGCCATCAATCCAGTGCTTGCATATTGATGCAAGCGCGGACAACGGCCCTGAGGCTTTGTGGGAAGAAGTAGCTAAAAGGGGATGTGAACCTGTCTTGGGCAACGCTGTGTGATTCCGAACAGAAACACCCATCTCGTTCACCTTCTTGTCTTGGTCGAAGATTTTCTCATCGGAGTGCGTCAGTTTGTTTCTTAACAATTAATAAATACTGCCAAATAGATAGGTATCTGCGCCTTCTTTATAAAGTAGCAAAGAAATAATAGACGTAAAAATAAATATTTCAAATTTTTCCATTACTTTAACTAGTTAGCATGTACAATAATAGTATTAACCAATAAGCCGTTTTAACTGATTTTTTTAAAATACTATGTTCCTTAAGGACGAAGGCGATTATGATTCTTTACAGATTCTTTTCATTGTTATGACTTCTTGAAAAAGACTGTGGACAGATTTTCTATTACTTTCTCCATGGTTTTGAATTCAGAATAGCTACTCTCCTATATCGTCTGATACTCAAGGCTAGAGAGCTCCTTCTATTTTAACCCATATCGGAAATAAGAAGAAACGTCTTTATGCCTTTCCCAAGAACATTTATGCGAAAATGAATGTAACTGGCTAGACTATAACCTGAACTCGACAAGTTGATTTGGTTTTCCGCACCGAAGACTGTAACTCTACCCATATATACTACTAAAATGGATTTAACGAAATCGGATTATATATATATATATATATGTGTGTGTGTGTGTGTGTGTGTGTGTGTGTGTGTGTGTGTGTGTGCGCGCGCGCGCGCGTGTGTGAATTACAATTAATGAGATCCAAATAATTTACCTCATACAGATGACCATTTTGTCCATGCAAATACATGTATTTGCATTGATAAATCCAGGGAAAAACTTCTTTCCCATGGACGAAATGATCATCTGTATGAGGTAAATTGTTTGGATTTCATTAATTGTAATTCACTTATATGTTCTATAATAAAAATTATATTGAGCTCTCTTTTGTGGATCAGTTTTAATATTTTATATTAATAGGATCTACTTGGATTACTTATCCACGGATTTTTTTTTTCAAAGTTTATGTTACACTGTATAAATTTACAAATACACAGAAAATTTTACAAAACATTTTAATCAGAAATGAAATCAAAATGATCGTTGTTCTTGCTGAATCAATAAAAAAAGTCGCTCACTGCAAAACCTCGATTTATTTTAAATAATATCGGATTTAACGAACAATTCGTGGATCACATAGAACATAAACTGACTTTTTTATTTTTACTGAACGGGAGAACAAATCAATCATCGAGTCTATGTTAAGTTATTAAGTACATATCAACCTTGTTAACTATAAAGTTAGCTGGAAATGAAAGATCTAGTCGATAACAACTATTTTTAAATAGTTTTCTTTAGTTTTCTCTCTCTCTCCCTCCCTCCCTGTCTCTCTCTCTCCCTCCCTCTCTCTCTCTCTCTCTCTCTCTCTCTATATATATATATATATATATATATATATATATATATATATATATATATCTGTGTGGACAGTATGCGTGTGTGTGTGCATGTGTGTGTGTGTGTGTGTGAGTGAGAGAGAGAAGAGAGAGAGAAATAGACAGCCAAGTCATTGTTTCGGGCTGCTTAATGTGTAGCCAAAATCGGTTACGTATTGTAAACGACTGCTCTCAGTGACCCTCGATTGAGTACACTGAAAAAAATCATTTTTGGAAGAACGATTCTAGTATGTTTGTGGATGGTTACAGTTTATTCACTCCAGATAGATAATTGTCCAAATCCATAAGTTTTTCATTCTACGCTCATCATCATCGATAAATTTATTGAGTACTTTTTTTATATTTCATGTGTCTTCAGTAAATCTTGTTTTAATAAGGGTGCTAACTGTCGAATTTTAACAAAGAATCACGAGCAAACATTTTACACGTTGTCTTTTTATATGCATCCCAGTTTTTTCTAAGGCTCGGTTATGAGTACAACTACTAAGTAAATTACAATGCCGATTACATCGACAGTATCTAAAATCCTCTCGATACGAGCAAAGGAAAGGTTTTATTTGATATTTCTTGCAATTTTAAATAACATTGGCGTGTTGACTGTTTTTAGATTTGATAAAAACTATTATTCATTAAATGCTGTGATCTACAAAACTTGCTTCTTCTTTATGAAATAGAAGATTTATCGGATTTAAGGAACATTCTCCTCGCCTCCACTTAGTTCTTTAAATCTAGGTTTTACTATAGAAGATACAATCTTACCTCGGGTAATGTGACGACAGACTTTACACTGGCGAAGATTGGTTTGTTGTCATTCAAGTCTTCAATAGGAATTGTTATTATTTGGCTGGTTACGTGCTTGCCGTCCTGCAACAGAAGATCACTTAGATAAGTATGATAACAATGATAACCAATCTTAGTATCATTTAAAGAAATTATTATTGTTATTATTGCTATTATAATGATTATAGTGATGCTGGTGGTTATACTGTTATTTTTGTTGGTGATGATAGTGGGGGCGATGATGGCGGTGTCCTGTTGTTAATAGCGGTAATTTTGCTTTTGGTGATGGTGTTTATGTTGTAGTTGTTGGCACGGATAATTGTGTCGATATTACTGCTGGTGGTGGTGGTTAGGTTGCTCGTGATGGCGTGGTTATATAGCTGCAGTCTTGTTAGTGGTGGTGATGTTTATGTTACTGTTGTTTATAGCTGTGGCCTTTTTATGGTGGTGGTAATCATGTGGATATTGCTGTTGATGACGATTTGAACCTTCATGTTAATGTTGTTGATAATGGCGGTCGTGGTTCTGTTTTTTTCTCTTTTGTAAACATAAATAATTCATAAAAATCAATAACAGTAATAGTTTATCATTCAGTTCAGCTTCACGGATGCGATTCTGTCAGACGAATAATCATAAAAACTATTTTCCCTTGCCATTCACCCACTAAAAGCCAGTTTGATGAAAATCTGACCCGATAAAATAAATCACATGGCAAATCTCATCGATTTGTTGAAATATTTTTATATTTGGTTAAATCATTAAGCAGTTCTCAGATATCGATTTATAGTGGCATCTGATATTCAGAAGATTTGTAATTATATAGCACCAGCTATCAAAAGAAACGTGCAAAATTAAATTCGAATGTTGGTGTCTCTTCAAATAGTCAACAGCGAATAATTTTTACTGAAAAAAACGTCGTAAATAATTTGTATTTAAGAAACTTACTGAAATTTGTACTGAAGAAACGTCGTAAATAATTTGTACCGAAGAAAAGTACTGAAATTTGTACTGAAGAAACGGCGTAAATAATTTGTACTGAAGAAACGTCGTATATAATTTGCATTGAAGAAACATCGTATATCACTTGTACTGAAGAAACGTACTGAAAATTGTACTGAAGAAACGTGCAAATTGTTTTCTTTCTTAATTAATAAAGTTCGTATTTAACCTGCAAAATCTAAAAGATGTGTCAAACAGCCATACATATACTGTTATCCGTTTAAATAATATATTATCCATAACACAATGACGTACCAAATGTCACGGATTAAGTGCATAGTATCCTGTAGAACATCCTGTAGTTCAACGAATTGTAGCAATTAGGCATGGCATCGATTCCACAAGTAGTTGGAAAATAACTCGAAAGATGTTGAGTTATGTCATCTCGATAGCTGTACACAGCATCATAATATTTATAAGTAAAAGATATTTCGTCCACCACGCACCATAAATGCTCGATTGGACTTATGATGGGTGAACGTTGTAGTCGCATCGTTCATCGAAAGACTCCAGAATGATACTGATACTAATTCTGAGAAACATCGGTCCGATTACATGGGACTATATCCTGTAGGAATAACTGATCATTGTTGGAATACCTTGAATCCATGAATAGATGCAAATGCTCATGAAGTAGTACAACATAGTAGTCTCTGGTCGTGTTTAGAAAGACCAGCAGATCCAAGCTATGCCATACGACATGAACACGCTCCACACCATTATGGAATCACCACCAGCCTGCACGGTGCCTTGTTAACAACTACAGCGCATGATTTCATGAGGTCTATCACATACCTGAACACAACCATCAGCCTGAAACAACTTGAATTGTGACTATGCCTTAAAATTCTAATCCTCCAGGATCCGGTTAGCGACGTTACGAACATAGGTGTCCGTTGTTGTAGTGTCAACAAGGGCACCCATGTGGCTCCTCAGCATCCATAACTCACGATAGCTAAAGAAGCGCGGAACTGGGTATGCATCCTGCAATGTATATGGAAGTCATCTGGGCCAGTGTTGTGCGTCCATTACTAGAGTTAATTTTAGCCAAATAGCTCTGGTGATGGTCATTAAAGACAAATGAAAGACTACTGTTCTGTCCACTAAGGACGGTAATGACTTCCATAAACTCTTCTAGTACAGACGTGACACTGTCGATGTCAAATATCCTTACAGTTTCAGGAATGAAATGTCCCAACTGTTTGGCACTTATTAGCGTATCCCATTCGCATTCTGATAATTCATGTTGCCTTGACATGTGCAGTCTAGCCAGTGATAATAGCAGATGTCAGCGCACAATTCACATAGGTCTTATCATTTATATAACGTCATGGTATGGTGGCGTCACTTGGCATTGTGTTTATATAGTGTTACCTACGCCATTAGTTTTAGCACGCTAAATACTAAATGTCTGTAATCTAATAATGCCCACTCTTCCAAAAATGGAACTGTGGACATTAATGGGTTATAATTATATTTTTCTGTGTAAAACCACCAAAAGTTAGTTACTTAGTTACTTTATATATATGCGCGTGTTTGTTTGTGCGTTTGGTACTTATTGAGCAATTATGTAATCATGAAAGTAAACACGAGTTTAGACGTATTTCTAAATTCAACCCATTATCGCTATGTAAAAAACTTAGAATGATTGGTTAAACTCTTTAAGATCGCTTCAGAATTCGAACTAAAATTAATTTACCTTCTCACTGTAAAACGTTAAGGAAAAGCAAATGCAATTAAAATCATCATAATAAAAATCTACAAGTCTATGTTATTGTA